CTGTGAAGATTATTATATTTATTTATTTATTTGTTTTATTTATTTATTTATTTTCTTTTTACCTATATCAGTATTTTCTTGCTAACGTTATGTGTTATCTTCAAGACATTGTAGGACTACATTTGTCTGTTGTCAGTACAGTAGAGTGAAGGCATTTAACCCGTGAAATAAAAGATACTAAATAAATGGAATTAGGGTCTACTAATGTGTATTAGTCTAATATCTATTTCACGGGTTTAATGACTCCACTCTAGTCAAATAGACACAAAAGAAAACAATGGAATTAGGGTCTACTAAAGTGTATTAGTCTAATATCTATTGCACGGGTTTAATGACTTCACTCTAGTCAAATAGGCACTAAAGAAAACAATGTAATTAGGGTCTACTAATGTGTATTAGTCTAATATCTATTGCACGGGTTTAGTGACTTCACTCTAGTCAAATAGRCACAAAAGAAAACAATGGAATTAGGGTCTAGTAGAGTGAAGGCACTTAACTCGTGAAATAAAAAATACTAGTCAACGTGTAATAGTCAAATAGACACGAAAGAAAACAATGGAATTAGGGTCTAGTAGAGTGAAGGCTTTTAACCCGTGAAATAAATAAAAAATACTAGTTAACGTGTAATAGTCAAATAGACACGTACAGAAGAAATAAATGATATTAGGGTCTATTAATGGGTATTAGTCTTATATCTATTTCACAGGTTTAATGACTTCGCTCTATATTGATATGCATGTAGTTTATGTTCTGATGAAATATATGTGTTACAGGAAAATCATATAAAAATTATAAAGAGGTACATGAGTGTCTTCCTTTTTCAAGTGTTAAGATAATCTGCGCACTTAGAACTACCAAACAACCCAATCACGTGCCGGCAGCCTGTGGTTGGATGCCAGAACAATAAAATCCCCTTGCTCTCGGGAATTGAATTATTTTTCATGTAAAACGATTGTATTGTTCCTGCCATCTAACATGGCTGCCGACACGTGCTATTGAGCAGTCTGCCATCATTCCCTAGGGAAATTACTACAGAATGACTTGGCCGTGTCGTTTCAAAAACATAAAGCCAATGTAAATCTTTCTTAAAAAATGATCCCACATTACATCTATGAAAACTAGCAATACCATTGGTCTAAGTATTGCTATTATAAGTTGAGATCGCAGTCAAGTATTGTTTTGCTTTAAAGTTATATAAAATAGGCTAATATAGGCTGACAACGTGAGCTACTCTAACGATTTATTTGATTGACGGAAGTGTATTGCCCCCACTTCCTTGCCGCGACTTATTGTCTCGATCAGTGCATAGCAATGAAAACAGCGGTGTTTTTTTTTTTGTTTTTTTGTTTTTTGTTTTATTTGGCCTATGAAATGCCTACAAATTAAAATGAATAGTTGATAGAAGAACGTATAATAATCACTACAAAATTTATAGGGTTTTTTTGGTGGCAAGGAATGCGTTGATACTTTAAAATCCCTTTCGATAAGAAAAAGCCAAGTGCATTAGAATTTTTCTTCAAGCTCAAGCTCAGTCGTTAACATCTGAAGAA